CTTCATCTGTAATGGGAATTCTCCCGGGAAAAGTGTCATCCCTGTTATGTTACTGGAGAAATCGTTCGCAAAATGTTAATCTCAGCGGGCGGTCTAATTCAAGCAAATTTTGTACAGGATGAAAATGGAAACATTGTAAGTGTTGCGTGTGGAGTATAGTTGAATCAGTTTTTGCGTCCAACTCCTGTGACTGCTGACAAACGACGAATACTAATTTCGGAATTTTCTTTTACTCTTTCTAGAATGTGTTCTTCATTTTGTACCCATCTTTGAACGGCATTAGATCGAATATTTTCAGTTTCTTCTAATCTGGTGAATAAAGAAGCAAACAATGTTTGAGAAGGCTGTCTGCGATTCAGATAAAGTTCTTCATATGTTCTCTTAGCAGTCCATTAAAATGTTCCTGTACATATACCACTATCATGTCTCTCATTTCATAATTCGTAAATACATTGTGACGATGCATTTCCAGAAAGAAACTTTTGCAAAATACTAACTTAACAGTGACCTATCGAAATTGTCATGTTGTTATGGATATGTAGTTATTCCCAAAAAATATGGGGTAGGTATGTGTTAATAAATATTTTCTGTAATATCATCGTAACCGATCATAATGTTTACTTTTCATTGGTATAAATTTTTTGCGTAGAATACAATTTTCTACCTATTTCTCATAGTTGCGTATAAAAATTTAAATGTACAAAAAAGTTATAGAAGAATAATCACAAAGGGTTGTAGTAAAATGAACGCCTTGTATGATTTAACCTAATAGGAACATAATCACTGAACTAGGGTTCTAGATTATACCCTTGAAGTACACCCTGTATAGCAAATGAGTTACTTATCCAAATGGAGAACAATATCTCTCTAAAATATAAAGGTCTCTTCAATGGATTACCATAAAGATATTGTAATGGAATTGTTTAAACGTACAAAAGATGAATAGAATAATAACTTCAAAAATTACATCAAAAGACAATTATTAATTTGATATACCCAAATCATAGACAACATAGAAAAATAGTTCTTCTGGTACACTTTCGCTAAAAGTACAAAGTCCCTTCGTTTTTCAGTTATTTGAATGAACTCCCCAATTTATTAGAAGACCTAGATTTGAGGCTAAGAAGAATTATGTGGTTGCAACATGATGGCTATCCTGCACACTAAGCTGCAGTTCGAAGGCGTTTGAATCAGTTATATCGCTGGATTGGTCGCATGGGTGCAATTGTGTGGCCTTCGCGATCCCCGGATTTAAATCAGCTAAACTTCTAACCAATGTTGCAAGAAACAACTACACCGCGGGCTATATGCCCCTCCCGGTATTGAATTACACTCGCAACACTGAATGTAACAGCTAGGATCGCTCGTCAGTTTAACCAACAAGGCACAGACCGGTTTCATAGGTAGGACAACCGACGAACGATCCAGCTGTTATAAAGTCGTAAATTCCCTATCAGAAGTACATAGTACACGGAACACAATGGATGGCTCCATCTGTCTGTCGTGCCGTCAGCTAGACTTTTTTTACTGGGGCTGCCTGCTAGAAAAAATCTATAGCAGGCCAGTCGATACAATACAAGAATTGCGGAACTGCGTCCAAGAAGCCGCTCGTGAAATTAATCAGCGAAGACACAAACGAAAGCTCCGAAGGGCATTCATAAGAAGGTGCGGAGCCTGCATCAGAGAAGACGGCAGACAATTTGAACATTTACTATAATTTTTAAATAAAATTAAATAATAACTCGTCGTTCTTAGTTAATATTTGTTTTGTATAATAATTGTAGAAATGTTTCCTATGTATTTTATGTACTTTATTGGAAACGCCATATTCCAGACGGAAAATTGAGAACAAAAAGGATTTTTTAAATTGCGAGAGACCTGTGTCTTATTCTCTCATATGGAAAAAAAGGGAAGTCAAAAGACAATGTGTACGTTCGGAAGTTTTAGAATGAATGATATTCGGAGTATAAGTGATTGTGTGGAAGTGTTTATTTAAAAAACTTTTCTGTATGCCGTGTTTAATTGTGGGTGTAAAGTCGGGCGTGTGGAATAAGGGGGGGATTTAACAATTTTGGAAAAGTCACGCGAGGTTATTATAACCACAAAGCATCTTTGGAACATACATGTACGGTGTGCGTTAATGTTCGCAGAAGTCCTCAAGCCGCACTAATATTTCTATTTTTTATAAAATCTAAATGAAAATCCTTCTCACGAACGTCAGTTTTTTGGAAATATTGCAAATGCAACAAAAAATTTCCAGATTCATTTAAAGTTGTTTGACCTTAAAAATTTTCGCATGTGGCGCTTTTTTTCCTTTTTAGTCAATCAATGAATATGCTTCACCTATTCTCAATGTCACAAGCCGCCACTGGCTCCCCCATCTACGGTTAAAAGGTTATCCATTATTTACCGAACACCCGATATATATTCTACCATGCGTATATTCAACCGTACATTGACAAAAATTTTGCATTTGAATAATACAGGATGCTCTGTAATAACTCGTGGGCGTTAGAAGAAATTAGAGTAACACTACTACTCTATATTTTTTTTCCTTATAATCCTCTTGTATATTTTGATAAAATATGGCACAATGTATTACAGATAAGTAATTACGAACCGATCTTTTATTATTACAAGGTATCCAAACATATTTTTCCAAAATTTTGACAAAAATTATTCTTAGATAGATAGAGCGTTTTTCATTAAAGAAGGTGCTGTATAATTGTATCCATAAAATGAACGTTTTTCGAGATAACTCGATTTTTGAAACAATCGTATATGGACAGCAACTATTAGACATTAATTTTTTCATGAAACTAGTTAATTTAAATGTGCCACATCCAAAAACATTTAAAAGTTTAAGTGAAAAATCTAACAATGCCTCAGTTTTCAGCTCGCTCTTGTACCTTTTCAAGTTCCTTAACAAGCTGATTTCTAACAGATTCGCATTGCATATAATGAATTACATTTGCCACCTCTCCTCGTGACTGTCCCGTTAACTATTTGTCACTTTCGAAATAAAATCCATTGCGAGTTGTTCTGGAAACCTTAATACAGCCTCGAGTACTCGATCCTATTCACTGGAACGTAGATTTGCAAATACACTTCTGGAGCATTTTTCCTGTCGTGTCCAGTGCGCAACTGTGGGTGGAGCAATCTCAGAAGCAAACTTATTTTGTTTCGATAACATATTTCTGTTTGTCTGTCACTAATTCAAAATTAAAATCTATATAACTTGTTTGTTCAATGAATGAAGTAAAATATACGTGATGAGTTTTCTGTTTATGTATATTATTCCCTGTTTTGCGGTTTGTTTGTTTTGCATATTCCATCGTTTTTGTTTTGTAAACTTTATGTAAACACAAGTTCCGTGCATTATTACGAAACGTCACGTCAAACAAAACCGTATTGTCCATCCATAAATTCACATCTGATTCATTGCAACTACTGTCGATAATTGCGATAATATTTAGTGCGGCCGAGCATTATGCGCCCATGCGTTTTTGTCACCAATAAATTAACTATTAAATTCACTAATTGCGTTTAAACATCAGTTCCAGGATTGTTTACTGTTGAATGGAAGTCCTAATTAAAATTGTGGCGTCGGCGGTCCGTACGCAAATATGTCTGTTTTAAATATCAATCGGAAAAGCCGCTGCCGCGGTACATATTCATGGAGACAGATTTGATAATGAGCGGGAAATTTATGAATATTTAAAATTTGTAATGTCCCATATTTTTCGTACGTAACGGCGGTGATTTCATTAATTTGCCATTCGGCGTAATTATTTCATGTGATTTTGCGACGCAGTAATTTATTTCTATAAAGTATACCAGATTTGGTCATTATTCGAAGGGTATTAATCAGTGTTAATTACTTTTACAAATACAGTGTGTTGCACAAATTGTTGACAAAATAGAATCATCGAACTTTATGAAAAGTTATGATTTATTTCAAGTTGCAAAAGACAGTTAAAAAAGGACCGTTAAATAACACAGGGTGAATGTGTATACAGGAAGTTAATTAACTTATGTCAAATATTTTTGCCACATGTCCGTTAAGTCTAAATGAGGTAAATATACGGATTTGTGATGAGTAAAATGTAATTTTAAAATCTGACGTACTTCAATATTGCAAAGAGCCACCTTTTGAGAACTGTTGATATTCATAGATGTTCGATGTACCCACCATTTGCTTGCACACAAGCTTCAGCACGACGTATCCAATTCGCTTGCACGCTTTGCAACATTGCCACGTCCTCTTGAATCGTGTTGTCAGCTTCGGCAATACGATGTCGCAGTTGGTCGATGTCACGAACTTCTGTGGAATACAAAACACTTTTCACATATCCCCACAAAAAGAAGTCAAAGAGGTGAGGTCCGGGGACCGGGGGGATCATCTAACTAGGTTGCCGCGGCCTATCCAGCAATAAGGAAAAGTAATGTTTAGAAAGTCGCGCACTCTGCGAGAAAAATGAGCTCTATTATGCAGTGACCACATATTTTGCCGAACATTTAATGGCACGTTTTCCAATCACTCCGGCAAGCGATTTTAGCCTACTTCGATCACAATTTTTTTTCCCGCGTAGAGAGCGCTGCAATTTACAGACGATAGTTCCAAAATCTGTTTATACCAGGTGAAAGATATCAATTTTGCCATGAAATTTTATTAAAATAAGTTTTCTCTATCTCTTAAAATAAAAAAGTTACTCTAAACCCTCAACTTTCAGTACTTTTCCGTTTTTTTTTTATGATTACTCACAAAGTTGGCCATGGATCTCGAATTTGTTTTTATGTTTAAACTTCGAGGGAGATAGATCTATTTAAAATAATATGTGTTTGCCTTATAAACATTGGTCTGGAACAGCTCCGTTTTAGAGATACAAGGTGTTGAAGTTGTTAAAAAAAATGATTTTTTGTTTCCGGAATCTATTAACCGATCTCAATAACATTTGGTACAGATAATCTATGATAGTATGCCTTACAGTCCCTAAAATATGACCTTTAAAGGTACAACCAGTGGTGTACAACTGGACAGGGGTTATCCCTTTTTTACAAAAAAAAACTACGCCACTGCATTGTTACTGATTTATATTCACAAAATACGTAAAAAAGGTGACTTGAATTTTTTCACTAAAGTTCACCGTTCTCGAGTTATTCATACCAATACAATCCACTGGTGGCAGACACTTCTGACCATAATATTGCAAGAATATTTATATTTATGCTTAAAAGTGAGTGCAACTTGTAAGCACATCAACAAAATCATTTACACTCCTTTCTACACCACCTGTGAGGTAGTGTTCTGGCGTGGTTTAGTTTTTCCTGGAGACCTAATACAAATTACAAATAAAAACAATTTAAATCAAAATAATAATAAAAATATACCAAGCAACAGCAACTAAACAAGAAACAAAATGAACGTTACGTATTTACAACAATTGTTCAAAATGCGAACCACCCACATCGATACATTTCTGACATCTTCTATTAACGGAATTAATTGAAGTTAATATCAAGTGGTGGTGATTTTCTTTTAATTCATTACACCCGTCTTCTATTCGTCGCAGTAGTTGTGGTCTTTATCTGTTGAAGTAGAATAAACTTTACTTTTCAGATAACCCCAAACATAGAAGTCCAGGGAGTTTAGATATGGAAATCTGTCTGGCCAGGACACTGGACCCTCTGCACCATTATGGTTGACATTGGCATTTGGTCTTCTACCTATCCATCGCCCCATATAATTTTCATTAAGCCATTCTTATATTATTCTCCCAGAATGCGCAGGAGCACCATCAGCTATTTTGTCGTATATTGAATGGAACATCCTCTAATGATTCAAATAGATGGTTTTCTAGAAATTACTGGGAATTTCCGACAGGGTGGCAAGAAGAAAGGTCCACAAACTTTACTGCGAATTATTCTGAGCCGTTCACAGAAAATTCGTGTTGAAAAGATCTTTTCCGAATTTCATAAGGATTTTCTTGTGACCAAATATGCAGATTGTGAAATTTCTTTACCCTTCGCCTTTGGTAAATGTACATTTATTATTATTTTGATTCTTATTTCTTATTTGTAAAAGTAGTGGGTTAGGCTTCCAGGGGAAACTAAAAGGCGCAAGGAGCTCTACTTCACAAGTGGTGTAGAAACGAGTGTAAAGAATGTTGATGATGTGCTTATAAATTCCACTTACTTTTAAGCATAAACATAAATATTGTTGTAATATTGTTAGAAATGTCTGCACAAGGGGCTTGCATACCAATACACAATGAATAACTTTTTGAAAATATTCAAGTTACCTTTTTTACGTATTTTGTGCATTAAAAAATGCAGTGGCGTAGATTTTTTATAAAAAAGATGACCCCTACCCAGTTGTATACCACTCATTGTATCTTTAGAGCTCATATTTTAGGAAATGCAAGGCATATCATAGATTATGTGTATCAAATTCTATTGAGATCGGTTAATAGATTCCGGAGATATAAACAAAAAATCAATTTATTTTAACAACTTCGACACCCTGTATCTCTAAAACGAGGCCGTTCCAGACCTATGTTTATAAGGCAAACACATATTATTTTAAAGAGATCTATCTGCCCTCGAAGTTTCCTGCATAAAATTCGGACCACCCTGTATAAAACGCTGTTGAAGAACTGTTTTCACTTTTTGACGAAGCATTTGGATTGGTCTATGGCTTCAGGTGTCAGTACTTACATTGATGTTGCCACTGTCGTGCGTTCGATTTCGCGGTCAGAAGACCATAGGTGAGCTATCTGTACATATATTCATAGAAAGGAATAGACATCCTCTCTGTGGGTATGATAGGATGGAAGAATATTGACATTAAAAAAATGGCTTGTTAATTTTTACTTCCAGTGCCATCGAACACACAGACACAAAGAAAGACACTTCTGTAAATGTCCTAACAACAGTTTATTAAACACTCTTTTATACGAGTTTGTAATAGAACTGACGGTGTTTCATTTTTGTTAAAAAATAATAAATGTCTATACAGGCTTTTGGAAAATAGTTTTGCCATACGATATTTCTTAATATCTTTTGAACAAAATCAATTAAAGAAGCTTTTTCCATGTTATGTAAATCTAATTCATTCTTTTGTTGCAGGTCGATATACAAAATCAATAGAAAATTATAAGTTAACAGTACCACACAGGCTCTCTCCAGAAGGAGAGTTCCTGTCATTTTCTTTGCCACAACATTTCTCGCACAAACCTACCAGAAAACGACGAAAGAGGAGTCTGGAAGACCCAGACTTGGTACATTACGGTGTTTCTATAGACGGGCAGGACTACCACATAGAGCTATGGCCCAACCACGACTTCGTATCCCCAAATTTGGTATTCGAAAATAGGGATCCTACCCTAAAAGTACAAGAGAGGAAAGTGAGGTCTTTAGGCGATAGAAAACTGTGTCATTATACGGGAAGAGTCCGAGGACATGCAAACTCGCGAGCTGCCATATCCACATGCTCGGGTTTGGTAATGTTTATTTTTTCAGTCAAGCATATTCTTGTACTAATGAGAAATTTTCTAGGCAGGATACATTATGTTGGACAACGTAAGGTACTTTATAGAGCCCATGGACGAGCATGAGCCTAATGAACACGGTCATCATTTGCACCTGGTCCACGAACCCTCTCCAGAAATGCAGAAGTACGAAGGGCGTACTTGTGGCACCAAGGATAACTGGGAGGAGGCGTGGAAGGACAGCTTCAGGGACAAGCTGATGAGAGAAGGCAAGTTGGAAAAGAGGGGTACGGCAAGTGAGCACAGGTACCTGGAATTATTGATAGTTTCTGATAAGAAGTTTATAGACCACCATAAGAACAAGGATGTAGAGCTCTACGTCATGACCATTCTGAATATGGTGAGTTTGTTTCCATTCAATATATTCGTTAAGTAGAAAATTTATTTAAAGATACATTAGAAAATACACGTAAAGTGCTTTTTGAAGCAGCTTTAGAGAAATATTAATTAAAAAAGTAAGTTATGCATGAATAAATATACAGGATGTTTCAGAGTTGAGGTGACAAAGTAAGTCCTAAATCGAAAATAGTAATTCTTTACATGTATTTGTTTATTTGACGATTTTTTATAAAGTTACAACTGCGAATAAAAGGAGTTGAATTTTGCATTAAAAATAGTAGAAAATCATATTATGGTATATTTGGAGCAATTTTTAAAATAAGTAAATATTTATAAATATCGATGAAAATTGTGAACAAATAGTAAACCATAATATGTCAATTCTACCCTAAACATTTTTGCAACGATCGCTGGCGTGGTTTTCGATTGACAAAATTTTTAATTAAGAAAATTTCAAAAAGTTTATCGCGTACCGTGGGTTTAAATTAAGGGTTAGAAAGGACACACAATTTTTTAGAGATACTTGTTGTCATAATAAACAATGATCAGTACTATAAATACCTACCTATTTTTACACTTTTATAACAATTTAGATTTTTTTTTTATTTTTCAACATTTTACTCTATAAACAATTATTTATTACCCAGGGAATTTTCTATGCAATCAACAAAATCTTGCACATATAAAAGCTACTACCACCACTTGCTTTTTAGCCAACTATGACAGTATTCTACTGTGTAGATTCTGAGATACAGAATAAAATTTTGTTATACTTCAATGAATTAACAGAGAGATCATTAAAACAAGACAATATATTTTTTTAAATTAGTCACTAAAACTTGAATTTCGTGGAATGCATTAATGAACACAAACTAATAAAACTTGATTACCATATTATAACTATTTTTTAAAAGTAAACGAACGTGGCATAATTCTTTAATTTCAAAATTCGTGCAAAATATTTATTTTATTGATTTTTGATGACATATTCGTATTTCTCTCACTTTGCTATATCAAATTAAGAAAAAATCGTCTTGATAAGTACTACCGTTCCCGAGAAAAGTCATATTTTATCCGCATACGCATCTTGAAACCCATGCGGCGCGCGGTAGCACAGCTGCTCTCAGTCATCACTACTTTCGCTCTACCGAGAAATTCCAGTGACCACGGTACCTTTCTTGATTTTTTTTATTAAGCTTTTATCTCCGAAAATGCACTAAATGGATATTTCAAGTGCTTGTAGTTGGCTATAAAAGCATAGTTTTTTTCTCGACTTCACGATTACTCAAGCTATAGATTAATATTAACTTTACGTTTCAATATCTCAGAATCTACACAGTAGAATGATATAGTTCCTTATACCTATCTCTTCTGGTTTTTAAGGTATTGTCGCATTTGACTAAAAAGCAAGGGGTTACGACGTAGTTTTTATGTGTGCAAGATTTTGTCGATTGAACAGAAAATTCTCTGGGCAATAAATAATTGTTTATAGAGTGAAATATTGAAAATTAAAAAAAATCTAAATAGTTATAAAAGTGTAAAAATAGGGATTTTTAGTATTGATCATTGTTTATTATGACAACAAATATTTCTAAAAAGTTGTGTGTCCTTAATTTAAACCCACGGGCCACGGTACGAAATAAACTTGTTGAAATTTTCTTAATGACAATCCTGTCAATCGAAAACCACGTGATCGATCGTTGTAAAACTTTTAGGGTAGAATTGACATATGTTTTATTATTTGTTAACAAAGTTTCATCAATATTTATAAATATTTGCTTACTTTAAAAATTGATACAAATATACATATTGTCACCGAACTTTGCATAAAATCTAATGTAAAATAAATATTAAATCATCGTAGACAGCGAAAACACAGCGACATCGCTGTCATCAGTCATCAATAAAAATTTAGATAGTGACAGACACATAAATACGAATCGAATAATGACTTTCGGACCACGGTAAACCAAACCTCTGACTATTATTTTGATATCAAACCATTTTAGAAAGTGTCTGTGATTTTTTTTTTACAAAAAACCAGCAATCCTAAGTTCTACGCCTTCCTAGGAGTCACTAGCCGTGGCTTCGAAATAATCGGGTAACAAGTATCTACTGGGAAACGGAGGCGTAGACAATATGATTTTCTACTATTTTTCGCCCATTGTTAATGCGAAATTCAACTTTTTTATTCGCAGTTATAGTAACTTTACAGAAAATCGTCAAATAAACAAAAAATATAGAATGACTTTTTTTATTTAGGGCTTACTTTTAATGTTACAGGGAAAAACGGGTAATTTTTCGTTCTTTTTGTTTGTTGTGCCTCTGAATTTAGCAATGGTTTTTTGGAATAGGCAAACTCGGATTCTTATTCTACATAATATTTGGAATTTGTACAATAAAATAGATGACTTCAAACACAAACGCCAAAGTCAACTTTTACTGCTCTACCGCCTGGATCCTGACCTAACTGGACCTAGCAAACCTAAGATGAGATGGATGCTGAGCCTTAGTCGAAGAACCTTAAACTAAATGTTGGGGTTTCTGACAGGTCATTGCACACTCAGGAGGCATCTAAGTTTAATAGGAATTGAGGAGAACCCTTTATGCCTGAAATGTAGAGAAGAGGAGGATACCCCTATTCGCCTTCTGGGACATTGCGCAGCTTTCGGGAGGCTAAGACATAAGGTCTTTGGTACCGAAGAGCAGCAAGGGTTGAGGTGAGAGGCCTGCCATGGTCCAAAATCCTGGCATTCGTCAAGGTGTAAGATAGGTCCGAGGAGGGTCAGAGGCAGACAGTGGATAAGCGATGGGATAGCGGGGTAGGCAAAAGGGCCCGTATGTGGCCTAACTGCCAGGTTGAGGCCGTCCCATTTACACTACTACTACTACTTGTTATTGTTACTATCTAGTCGTAAATTGTATTCCTGAAACCACTTCCAAGTGACTGTTCTTCTTATTTACCACTGATAGAGTTTCGATGAATATTTCCTTCATTAATTGATTGATTTTTTTATATCACCTAGATGCTGCACATGCTCAATAGCTGTTTATATTGTGTCTAGCTTTCATGCCCTTTCTAGACAAGTTATAAGCACTTATATGTATTAAATAAGCACAATCCGATCCTCTCTTCCCATAAACAATTTAAATCAATATTTCATTGCTACAACGACGACTCAAATAGGCATATCTAATAGAGATGAGCGATTGAAGTAAAGAGATCACCTCTTACATTTTCTACAGCGAGCCCCGACCACACAGCTGAAACCTGCAACGATCTTCAATCTAACTTTGTTATTATATTACTCTGTCTGCATATTACTTACGGGTCAATGCCAGCCGGCAGATTACACGATACAGAGATCCTATTAACAGAAAAACCCCGGTCTGGTTGGGCAATCGCGGCTCAGATTAGATTGATTGGAGTTTCGCGATAAGAAAATAAATTGGAAAACAAAACAGAATCACCTACACACATGGTACCTATAAAGAATAAATGAGGTAATCTAGACGGGGTGATGGAGGATTTATAGAGGATTAGATTTGTCTTTGAAGTATTTCTCACGCACGTATTGCCATCGTGTTTTTGTGACCGGTGTATTCTTTGAAGCGTTGGCAAGTGGCAACAAAGTAATAACTGCCTGACAATTTGGTAGAGGCAATCGTTACATACAGTGTGGATACAAATTGTGGAATATTGCTTATATTTCTTAAAATATTCGTCATATCAAAAACATGTTTTAATAAAAGTGTTAGGGGAAATTATTTCACGTTTAGTGATATCAAGCAATCTTTCGTATCACAAAAAATGTGGTTGCCAAGGTAACCGACTTAATTTTTTTAAACGGAACCATTTACTTTTTTTGGTGAAAATTAATACATTGTACCTTTCTAAATACGATACAATACAATTTTAATGGGGTCACATAAGAAAAAAATACAAAAAATTTAAGTTTTCTATTATGCTTTTGACACTGTTTATCAAAATAATTATTAATATCAAGTTAGTCATGCCAAAATCAGAACAATGCGAAACTGTCACTAGCTGTCAGTTGCTTGTAATTGCGTGCATTGTTGCAGTAAACGTACTATTTTACTCAATTTTCTGTGTACTTAAGTACTTAGTAAGTTATAATGGCGCTTGAATTAAGCGAAACGGAAAGAATACAGGTTTTAATGGTGGTGGGATATAGTGACAGGAAAAGGACACAGCGGGAAGTATGCGAGTTGTTTAACGAACTTCATCTAAACAGACCTCAAATAACCACAATCTTGTGTTTCTAAATTGTTAAAAAAAAATTAGCGAGACGGGAAGCGTTAAAGACAAATTACATACAGGGCGGCCAAAAACAGCTACTGATGACGATACTACTTTAAATGTGCTTCTGTCAATACAAGAGATCCGACATTTGTCCAGTCTGGAAGTTGGTAAGGTACAAGGAAAACTTTCATCCACACAAGATGCAGCTCGTTCAAGAACTTGTGCAAAATGATTTTGCAAAACGTGTTAGTAAATTTAACATGGATTTGGAATTTGGCAAAAAGATTGTGTTCACCGATGAAGCCACTTTTATGCTTCATGGATTTTATAATAAACAAAATTATGGATATTGGTGCCAAGAAAATCCTCACTGGATACGAGAAACTCGAACCCAGCGACCAGAAAAAATTAATGTCTGGACAGGTTGATGGAAACCTAACTGCCGACAAATATCTTAATTTGTTGAGAGAACAAATTGTACCTGCTTTGGAGGCCCTAGGTCCAATTCAGCAAATGTGGTTTCACCACTTTCAAGATGGAGCCCCTCCACATTATGGAAGGGCCATAAGAGAATATCTAAATGAAATATTTCCTGCAAGGTGGATAGGTGCGGAGGTGCCATTAAATGGTCAGCAAGGTCACCCGATTTCAATCCGTGTGATTAGTTTTGTGGGGTTGCTTAAAAAGTATAGTCTACAAAGAAAGACCAGTAGATCTAGAAGATCTTAAAGCGAGGA